AAACTCAATTATACATCAGAACAGCTTTTCACCATAATGTTATTTATATAGTAGTCGGGCGACAGGTGAAAGGCGGGTGTTCCTTATTGGTGGACTAAGGTCTGTACTGCTGCGCTGCCGTCGTGGTTAAACCGTTTACAGGAATTGTCACAGATAAACCTCTCTGCCATAAATATTGGCCAGCCCATAAATGAATTACCTGCTTTATTCTTGACAAAAATGAAGTTAGAAAGATTAGTAAAAGAATCAATGACCCACTGTCGCGTTTAACAGGCTCGCTTTGTCGATTATCTAAGTAAGTTTGACCCTGGATAATTGCTCGTTTACATTAGTCCTACCTGTTTATCAAACAGCTAAGACTGGTGTCTAGGAAGGTCGAATCTTACGTACTGTAAAAAAATGATACTGTCAATCCAAAATAATTTCAGATTCATACATCTACTGTAACAAATTAACAAAACCTTAATTTAGAAAAAAAATTAAATACCATCAATTTAATATATATTTCAGGTAAACGTTCGATATTATTTGTCCCTTTCCTAACCAAGGGTTCGTTATTGCTTCCTCAACTTTGAATTTCCTAAATGTGTGTGAAGGACCAATAGCCAAATAAACCACAGACCAATAAACATGGAAATTAAGTTAAATTAATATAAAATATAAGAGTAAATTTACTGGTTTCCATTAGTTGTTAATTATTTATTTAATTTATTTAATTAATTAATATATATATATAAACGAAAATGAAAACTTAATCTACCTGCTAATATGTATATACATATATTGTTACATTAATAATATAATTTTTGAACTACATGCTATTAGCAGACGCGATTTGGCTGGAATCTTCTCTCCAATTTCATTCAAGGAGAAATTAGTTCAGAAGGAAAAGCATCTCCTAGTCTAGTCTCAAAAATCGCCACTCATAGGATAAGTTTCTGTTCTTCGAAAGCTACAGTATCGAAGATTAATGAAGCATTAGGCCTAAAGACTTCTGCGAAGGTGAATAACGCTGAGTTAAGGGCTGTGACGGAAGTTCTCATTTCAAAGTGTACCGGAGCCTAGCTCTCAAGTTTGGCGCACATATATAAAAATACTTTTACTTCGGTCAAACCAGTAAGGCCGAAAAATGAAGAAATGTGTGTCACACGATTTGCGCAAGAATCAAAAACGAAGGCGTAGGGACGCCTGCTTTTCTGTGTGCATTGAATTGTCACTTTTGATAAAAAAAAAAAAAAAAATGATTTTTTACAATACTCACAGATGATCCCATCAGTAGGTTGATGGAATTAAATTGCTAGGATAGTATAAAGTAAATGAGTTGTTGTAAACGCTTATCGTGTTTGGTTGGCGGTATAATGTAGATATTATCCTCTACAGCTTTACGAGTCCTGGTTTGCCGATCACTGTTAAGGCGTCTTGTCAACAATTGGAGACGCTGACGAAGAATTCTGCATTAAGCAAGGAAGATTAGGAAGCAAATATTTACTTTTTATATGTACCCGAAGGCAAATTTGACGAAGGTAAATGACGTCTTGTTGCACGACAAAGCTTCATTATAAATCGGAAGAATCATGGTGATATGAATGTATAGGTTGCACTTGCTCTCGATTACTCGCTATCCTCGCAGGACATTTGTCCCATAGGTTTTCTTTCAAAACCTCCACTGCTTAACAAGAAAATCATTCAAGTCTTAACGTGATGTCGAAATCGTTTTTTGAAACTTCATAGAGTCTTGTACCCCACTTTTCAGCAGTAACAGGATAAATAGATTACCCTCCAAATAAAAGGAGATTTTATTGTATATATGTATGTATATATTTATCAGTTATTAAACGTCTACTACCCTTCTCCATTTTCAGTTGAATTAAATACATAGCGTAATTCGACTAGAGATATACATGAGGTCCTCATATGTGCATTGTTGAAATTTCGATTTTCCGAATTCGTAATTTGTTTATCTGAAATCAAGACACGTTTTCACGTCCCTATAATTTTAATTTTTCTTCTTTTTACAAACAATGACGTTGGGTTGATCATGTTATCCTGCAATTGACGGCTGATATCTACTTTTTCGAAGCAAGCATAACGAATGACAGCTGAGAGGGCTGCTTCAACTTCGGCTACGTTTGGCAGACTCCTAGAGCTTCTAAAGTGGGTCAGCTACCAAGCGTCAGGGGCAGCGGGTGAGCCCGGTGGCCCATGCATCCACATGCGTTCTAAATAGCTCATGTGCCCAGAGGAGCTAGGGAAGCTATCGAGAAGCTCCCATCGAAAGGATTTGCAGTATCGTGGCGGTCGTCGCTACTTTTGCTGCCGTCGCCAGCCACTCATCCGTAACAAACGGTGCGCGCCGGCGAGAGGGCGCAGCACGGAGAGACGGCAAACAAGGATCCTTGCAAGTGCAGAAAAGGTGCCGCTTTTGCTGCTGGAAATCTTGGCACGAAAGGAACAGAAGGAAGAAAATAGTTCCTCGCTCCTATGTCGATAACCGTGCCTAATAGAGAAATAACTCGAGCTTTATGCAAAAGAACTCAACCACCGCCTCTTCCTGAGAAGAACAGAGACAAAATCACCAATGCCGCAAGCAATGTCTGCTGGCCGCCGAGCCTCAAGTCCGCTGGCTTGGTCTGCAAGGTCCAGTTGCTCACAGTTCCATCGAACGCTTCTGTAGCATACATATCCATGTATATGGCTAGTACGAAAACTACCACTTGCGGTAGCGTACGAGCCTGTTGGCTTGCTTTTTCTGTAAATATACGACATCACATACAAATGCTTCACATTGCCTTCTTCTACATTGGAGGAGGGAATGCGCGTTGTCGTTTAGTCCGTCTATTAGAGATAATAGCGAACACGTGAGCCCGTCATTCCAAACAACCGACTGAACACGCGGTGTAGAGATAGTATTAGCGTCATGATAAGCTGGCAATGATATCTGCTCAGTGTGTTACAAAAATGGAAGCTTAGGATTATTGACTAGCGGCACATCACACGAACGTTCTTGTTAGTTAAGTATGAAGGGAATTCGATAGATTATGTATAATACTTTGTAGAATTTCTGAGAAAAATAAATACAATTCAATCAAGATGGCCAATGCTAACTATTAGATGCTATACATGTATAGCGGAAACTAAACGGAATAACATTTACAAGTCAGGGTTCATGCTAGGAATGACAGAAGGTACCCACCCCAATGTCGTAAACGATCCAACCTTTTCACGGAATTACGTTTTGAGGCTCGAAAAATGGAAAAAAATCTGAAAAAATCTTGAGGCTATTAATAACTGTATTATTATCATCTTTTTCGTTATCCTGCGTCGGATTAGTTTATTCTAGTGCCAACCGGAAATGCTATCGTTATCCAGGACAAGCAATTATTGAATCTCAGCTACTTATACGAAGGCAGAAAGGATGTTTTCTTTGTTACTAAATCAAGAGAAAGAGTTACAGGAATCGTTAAATATAAGTTTCGTCATATCTTGACGTAAGGCAACAGTCAAATCTGGTAGAAGGGTTGTGGCAACTGTTGATACAAGAAATTTACCATCTTCGACACTTGAGTAACTATCACAGAATGACTGGCGAGAATCGAATCCCAAATATGGGCCCGAGATAATGGTAACAAAATAATTTCTTGCTAAGTTACAGTGGCAAGGGGGCCGAAAGCTCTACTAATAAGTCTATTCAATGTTACCCCGCATATAGAGCTCGGTACGAAGATCGTGCATCGCGTACCAACAAGTCTTCGAATTTCACAACAGCCATGCAGTTGTCGGTTTCAGCTACAATTTCGGCTGATAAGGCAACCGTTTTCTGCCCTGTGGCACCCTGAATTGAGCAGTACAGTCCCTAAAAGGTTCTGAAACGGAGTACAATGACGCCTTTCATCTGCATGACGATGAGGAGTGCTTTCGTTTTACGGGGTTACGTAGTTACAGTCTAGTAGGACAGCTTTCAAACAGCTGTGACTGAAACCTAATGCGTCACTCCGCTGTGGCTAAGAAATTGCGTCGCTCTATTATTACCTTAGGGACGTCCTAAACGAACTGGTAGGTTGGTCCTTATTTATTGAGAGATCACAGCTCTGCGTATTTGTCGTCTATTAGACAAGTTTCATGCCGTGAGAATTTCCAACTGGACAGGAACCACTCCATAAATATATATATATATATGTATTTTCAGCATATTGCTAAGCAGCTATTCTCTGGACTGTTGCCGTTCGTAAAATGCTCGTATTAATGAAATAAAAATGTAAAATCCGTTATAGGAAAATGTCATTATTTAAAAAAAAAATATCTATTATAAATAAAAGCATCCAAAAAATGTACACAGGGCTCATGACTAGTTCCTATGGCTCAAATAACAAAAAGTGATGTACGACTAAATTGTATGGTTTTATTCCAAAGAAATGTTCTAAGATCGCAATGATATGGAATTACAGGCATCTTCTAAGATTTCACTTTCATTAAAATGTGTTATACCTGACATAGCCGCAGGTTTACATTCACGATATTGTTATTATTACGATGGTACAAGTAAAATTTTCCCCATTCAATTTCGTTTCATGTCTCTTAGGCGTCGTTTTGTGAAGTAGTAGCGTCCATATGAACCTTTGTCGTGTTGAAACTTTTTTGAGGAATTCCAGTTCTGTAGATTACAGCATTATCTCGCCTGCGTTTTACGAAGGTGTTTCGTTATTTCTTTTCAATCGGTTATCACGCCTCTTTATGGATACAGCCTTGAAAACGAAACAAGGTTTTTACACTGGAGCTAAGGACTATCGAACTCTCTAACAGGCTATTTGCAAAAGCTCTGACAGGCAAAATCTGAAAACGTGACTCGATCTAACAACAGAACGCACAGCGAAGTGTATTGCCGACTGTCTTATACATGCGGAGTTGATGCAAAGAGATCAGACCGGACTTAGGTAGAATTATAAAAAAAAGTCTACGTTGACTGCTTTTTTAACAAAAAAAAAAAAAAAAAAAGAGTTAATAAATAATGCAAAGCAACGCATTGTTTTCTTTTGTAGAAAATGATAAATCAACACATGATTAAACTTAATTTTATATAGCCAGTCCAACTCGAAAGCATTACATACGCCATTTGTCATGATCGCACCGTTCGAGATCAGTATCTAGTACTATAATATATATATATATATATATATATATGACACTGGAATGACTATATTATGTAAAGCTACATTACTGCTCTGATGGGAATTACCTGACATACGAATATATTATATTATTTTTACGTATTTACGCATGGATATATCTGAACCCATGTAACAGGTCATGCAAAAACCTAAATTTAAGCTAGAGTGTTACAGAATTGTCATTTTTATGTTTCTTCCGGCGTCGTTGATGGCGTCTGCGAGTCGGAGGGCGTCGCTTTAGAGCAAGATATTTTTCCGTTTACTATTCCTTCAGGATCGCTTCTTATCATCAGGACCAGTCTGAGCTCCTGACCAGGAGCAAGACTAGGGATTCGAATAATCGTTTCGCTTGCTAATGGCACAAGGTCGTTCGTCAGGTTTTCTGATCGAGAACGTTCTTCGTCCAAAAAGGATGCGTCCATTGTCCGATTAAAAGCTATAAAGAATCGTTGCATTGCTTGATCAGTACTCAAACATTAAATCTAGCAATGGATATGTATTTTCAATTGTATACATCACAGAGCTTCGTGCAATTTTACAGCTGTTAATAATCCAGTACTTAGCGGAGCCTATTAATTGGTGTCATTGCTGAATTCAAAGAGACATGGTTCAAACAATTTGACACATTTGCACTAATTATTATTCTTAAACAGAAATAAATAAAGTCATATTTTCCACGTACTTAGTTCCCGTATCTCTGTCTGGTCAGCCAAAGGGGAAGAAAGTGCAATTTCAGGACTAAGTAGTTCTTGCGGATCCGTACAAGTGGCTGTGCTTCGCGTGCTTTCAAACATGCCCGATGGCCGGTTGCCTAGCCCCGATGTCGAAAGCACCGCTGACAGATGTAGTTCTGAAGAAATAATAGGATCGGCAAGGATCAAAGACGAGTCCCTCATTATTATCAAGAGCTCTCTCGAAGAAGAATATCCTATCGCTATCCCGGACAGATAGATAAATATATCATACATTGGTATAGAGAATTTTCGTTCAGCACTGTCATTACTATGCGTAGCTTCCACAAAGTTTCAAATCGTCGTTGAGGTTTGTCAATTGTTGACAAACAGGCAAATCGCGCATCGTAGACTATAACGCATCTATGTAATAAATTAATAGAACTGGCTTGATAATCCCAGTCCTTTACCTCCATAGAGAAGGTGGCTAGATATGTATCGTTACATTATCTACGTTTGACTGCACCTATTTCTCCATAGCGCCACATCATTCACTGAGCACTCCTAATTGAAGTCGCTTGCGTTTCAGTATTAATTAGCTGGAGGCGTAACAAACAATTCAAATCGTGTAACAAATTTGTATGTTCTGCACTCACCATTGGACAATTGGAGTTCCCCGATGGGACGCACGCTTCGGTTTGGTGAGGGGTTACGTTGAAGTGCGTTGACGACATGCGTACTTGTCTCTTGCGGTTGCTCGACTAAAAAATAGTCTTCATCTTCTATGGCAAAAAAAGGGGGCAATGTGTAACCTTAATGATATATATAGCCAATGGTCGGTCGAATAGAAAAAATAGCACTTGCAATATCTGTCCAACATATGTACTCGGATGTATTATCAGAATGTATTGACGTATATCAAATACATATCCGTATGCGATGATCTGGTAGTTAATAGTCACTCCACACTTGAAGTTCCTCACAATTCTACTCTATTCAAGTATAAATAGCTAGTAATTGGCAAATATAGCGTCGTACTCCCTATGATTGTTCATTCAATCTACAGCGTCCGTCACTTAATCTTGGCTTTGAGTCTTATAGTGTACAAAACTCGTTATACGGACTATGTAATGATGCCGCGCATCGAATACCATTGCAAATAGTGTTCTAATTAATACTCTATGGGCGTGATATGGTAACCGCTTAACAAACCTTGCATCAAAGTTCACTTTGTCCATTTATATGAGACGAAACTTCAATACACTCGGTTGAAGCAGAGATGAAGTAGGACATTGATGTTATTCAAAAGGGAACGTATCGAAACTAGCTCTTGTCGTAAAACCTTTCCATTTTTTTCAAACGAAGTCAGCTCAGCAGAGATTGCAATACTTTTATACACTAAATAGTGTAAACAGTGTAAAAATATTTATCCTTCGCACAGTTTTACTTAAATTAATAAGTAGATAAGCTTTTTTTTTTTTTAATAGAAGATCATATCAACCGTTGCGATGGCTTTCGTTGCATTCAGCCGCTTCCTGATCTTCCTCGATCTTGTGCGTCTCTTCATCTAAGATATGATAACGCACAACAGTGCGTGGCTGTGACTGCATAGGCATTTCAGTCTGGGAAGATTCGCTCATTCCAGAGTCGTGGCCATGGTCATTTTCGTCTTCGTCTACGTACAGAGGCAGAGCGGTCTACGGTTAGATATTTATCGATGTTTTATTTTTCTATTTCAAATACTGTCATTAGCCGGCGCTTTTGAAGAGGAACACTGTGAAATCTCGCAACATTTACTCGGGCATGAACATCAGACGTAACTATTTTCTAGAAATTAGTGTTATTTCATTTACGAGCGTTAACATATATCTGCATCCCTTCCCTGCCCTGCAGACAGCATATATATGTTGCATATGCGTTCTCCTAGTGTACACATGCATATGTATATGTATATATATACCTTCTTCGGGAATGAGCTCTGGTTCGTACTCGTATTCTGCATCCTGTTTAGATTCGTCAGGTCGTATCTCATGACCGACAGAGCCACCGTTTGCAGATACCTGCATTTCCAACTCATCTTCAACGCGAACAATCTTTTTGTCTTCTTTGAACAGTTCTTGACCAAACTGCCTATCTTGATCTATATCCTTGTCTGAATTGCTGCCTGAAGCGGTCGAATGCCCCTCCACCTGATCGAAATCTTCTTCGTCTAAGTCAAACTGCAAAACGGCGGGGCAAAGGTCACTTTGCTTGTCACTCTCACCGAACTCGCTATTGACGTCTTTCACAGAGCCCGTTCGTTCATATAGAGGTAGCATCTCTGGTGCGTCCTGCATCTTAAACGATGCGATGGTGATCGGTTCAAATAGGTGAGCAAGTTGACCTATTCTATGCTTAACAAAAAACGACAGATATTTGCGACACTTCTAGATATTACTGATGAACAATCACTGCATTGTCTTTTTCTCGTACTTAGCTATAGTGAAGCTACCTACGATTTCGACGATTCAATCTACGCAATTTAGCCTAAGCTAGAGTTACCTATCGCAGTTTTCCACGTTACCATGAACTGAATTGTAAATCGATATAAAACGGTTGTAGAATATCTGCTTTGTCGGATGAATTATATTTTTATGAAATATTCGAAAGTAAAAACTTCTAAAGCGTCAACCCAGCTCACGACTGATGTGGTGGCGAGACACATGCCTGTATTGAACTTCACCTTTTGGTTACCTTTGGTTATACGCAGCATGTTGATGACGAAGTTGATCCCTGAGAATATGGACCTCATTGAAAGCTTTTATCTGAAGCTGCAACCGTTCTTTTAGTGAATCTCGTATCACAATTAGTCTGAAAGTAAAAATGGATACCGATTCAATATTTCCTGCGAAACATCTAGATAATAGCATGTACTTGTTGACGAAGCTCGTTTTGGCTCTGACGTTCGGGTGGCGCGCAATTTGAAATGTTGCTGCCCAATGCAACCGCACATACTGCTTGAACATCATCGGTATTTTCAAACTCGATAAAAGGTAGAATGTCTCTAACCCTCACTTTATTTGGGCAAATATTGCCGTATGCGAGACAAGATACACATTTCTAAAGATATGCAGGTAGCTGACGTACAGTTCTAAACACGATCCCAAGATGTTTTCCTAAAGCTTTATTTCGAGCGCATCTGTATTACTATTATTATATATTATAAATTTATCAATAATAGAAACTAGGATCATGTTTTAGTTTGCAGCGTTGTATTTTTATTATGTCACAAAATCAAATGATATTTGTTAATGACGTTTTATACGTTTATGTTTATATATATAAAACGTCTTATATTTATAACGTAAACAATTGTTTGCTAACACATACCGCTTGTTAAGACCTTTGAAGCGATCGATTAAAGCCATTGTCGGCAAGGCCTGGACTGGATCATCACTGAAATAACACATAGATTCGAAGTATATATTAAAGTTTAAGCAAATTTAAGTGTTGACCTTTATCATTTTCATAAAGCTTTTCTTTTACAAAAGATGGCTTCTCGAGAACGATATTGTAGCAACTTACGAAAACGCGGACCATTAATACCAATACGCATACCTCGCCATGTTTGATTCGCTAAGCTGTACGCAATTTATGAATTTCCACGAATATATGAACTTGACATTGACTGGATTGCTTTACACAAAGAGTGACGATTCACCAACACTGATCATTTAACGAGGACGGCTGTCGTTCGAACGTTTCCATAAAAATGACTCGATAACTGTCAATGGGTATGTCCGTGTGTTTTCCATACAATACATACATTTCAGAGTAGCAAGTTAAATCATAATGAATTTTAAAGAATTCTAACTAAATATCACTGATCTCTAGCGAGGTCTTGTATCTCAGCTGCGTCTTTCTCACACCTTTAGCACAGGCAGTGTACCTGTGACTGACGCAGGACCGCTGCTACTCAGATAGACAGGCCGCTCCCTTGTGCGGCACGAACACATCACATGAACGATGCAAAATGGCCAGGTAAAAATACGGGCACAAATGAAGATTAAATCGTGCAGACAAGTCGCCCAACGTGCACATCTAGTTTGTCAGCGGCTACCGGCTTTTAACGGAAACAATGTTATCAAGACTTTCTATGAAAAGGCGATAACAGCTGAGATTTTGCATTCTAGATTATCGTCTGCTTCTACATCCAGGATTGCCCAGATGTATAAAAGAAAATCAATTTCAAATTAGGATTATCATATGCAACAATTGACGCCATATATATATAGCAATTTCAGAATTGGCCCTGAAGCAATGATATATTTGCGCAATACAACATCCTCACGACGTATTTAAGGGCTTTCCACTAATACACCATAGTAGATAAGCGAACTGACAGATCTATTATCAAACAAGGCATTGTTAGTTCCTTGTTGAAAGTTCTTATAGCTCCATTGAATTTCATTGTGAAGACTGTATAATCACCGTACATCGCGGTGGCTCCATGTATACACTTGCCGTAAGGAAAACGAAAGTGCCATTTCCATTTCCTAGAGCTGCTCCACGAATTATAAAACAGAGAACGTTTTCTCTGTTAGCTATTTATTTCGAATTTGCTGTTCATCATACTGAAATGCTGCTACGCCAGAAAATGAAATCATCTATGGCGTCATATTTACTATTGCTAGTCGTAATCGTCTCCGTTAAGAGGACAAAGATGTAACGGCTCAAAAAATAGGACATTGTTTTGAAAAACGACATTTTCGTTAACGCTGTCCAGTGCAAATGATTTCCACTTGCGTCTGCAGTCGGCCAGAATTTGGAAGAATAGCGATAATTGATGGTTTAATTATGTAGTGCCATTGCGCAGTTTATCGTGGAGATGACCGATTGACAATAAGGAACGGTCCGAGTTTGACAAAAGGATCATCTAAAATCATTTTAAAAATCGTATTCGAAGTAGGCGCGCCTGAAATATCGCTGGACCGGCATCGCTGAATGGACAAAACAGATCCTTGCTATACATGACGTCCGGAGCCATTTGTTTAATTGTTGAGTCAATGTTTTCATAATCGGGCTAATTTTATTAACTCTAAAGTATTTTTGCTCTTTCCTTTTTACTCTTGTAAAGAAAACATTCGTTAATCCGCCACTTTTGCCCCGAAAAGAAAGGCCGTCCCTTCTAGTATAAAACAATAAACTCGCCATGGTAGATAGTAACGCGTCGTTTTGGCAATTTTACGAACGACGACCTGTTATCTAACCTTTTTGCCTCGCACAAAATCAAAAAACGGAGACAAGAAGACTTCACGAACGAGGAATATTTCCATAAGGCAAATTAGAGAGTTCCTCATAGTGAATTTAAGTTGTTTAGCAATGCGTCCATGTGGCTTAGAAGGCCATGTTTAACGTATCCGGATTTTTTTATATCGAAATATACAGTCGTTTTGAAAAAGGAAACGACAACTGTTATCCATATGAGCTCCGACAGTTAGTTTTTCTGAGAGAACGTATTTTTTTCTTTTTTTTTTTTTTTAAATGTTTTTGATGGCCGTTTTAAATTTTTTGTATTTGTGGATCAAGGGAGAAATATCTTGAAAATGAGCTATGAGTGATTTAGGCTCGCAATCGGCGTTGTATTCTCGGTGAACAATGTTAATATTGAATGGACGTCATCGCCAGAAATAACACCTCTAGCACAGATGAAAGACTGTGTTGAAATGTCCATTTTTGTATTGGCCTCAGCTTGATCAGCAAAAACTAAGAAAAAGTCCAAATTAAGGAATCGTACTCTGTATCAGCAATCAGATATGAAACACTACGTTTTTCCTTCGCAAAGTTCTATTTCTTATGTTAATTCTGTTCGTAACAAGCGTTTTAGGAAAAGATTTTTTAATAAACAACGTTATGATGCTTTCAAGGTTTGACTAGCTTCGCATAAATCTGGTAAATCCGGTCCACCATGATGGTCGTAACCAAAACGTAGCATTACATTATCTATCAAAGTATTTATTTAAATGTGTCTGATTTCCGTCAAGACGCAGTGGACATTTACATCAATAATCGCGGCCTCATATCTATTCTTCTATGAAATCGTTCACTGGCCGCTCTGTCAGCTGACAGGCCCCGCTGTATTTTAGTAAGCAGTTTTCGTAGTTTTATGCACATAATATATACTTCTCTAAAAAGCAACTTCTAAATAAAATTCTCTAAATACACAACTTCATCGGCATAGACAGTGACCGCTCGCATACGAACGCATGCTATATGTGTGTGTGTGTCCATCTGAGTGTGAAAAGCTGATTGGAAGGTAATCCATTAGGTAACAGCCTCTCCCGCTATCCCTTCAGGGTATTCAGTGGTGCACTTCAAGGCGGAAGTCCCTTTATAACGTCGACCACACAACACCTGGATCGCATATTATCACGGCCAGTGATTCACAACAGGTCGCCTATAACTACAGCGGACAATATCATTTGTAACTAGCAGCGGATCGAAGCAGCAACGTCAGAGCCATGCTATCGGCAAACAAGCATCGTATAGATATACCCCTCTTCGACATTTTCGCTGAGGCTATTGACGTCGCTAAAATAAATAAGAGCTGCTTCCTTCTCGCCATGAACAAGCAGGGTTATGAGTTACATAGGCCTGTATTGGAGGCCTTACACCTTATTCGTATTCGTTAACTCATACGTATATCCTGTTGTTAACTATTGTAACGTAGTAAATCTATTTCAACTTGCCATTATATACACAGATAATTCGAAGATCATGTATCTTCTATATCGGACAGCGTATGCATACCCTTTCAAACAAAAGCGGGAGAGATTCCTAAACACCATGCATAAGACTAGAACCTAAAACACTCGACGAACTAGACCAAAGCCCCCTGAATTCCTCGTTAATAACACGGTGCTCACATAGGAAAATTAACAAATAACCTGAGAGACTTTTCGTTCGGCTCGTGTACACTCGATCGGAACCCATCGCTGCTCGTCTGCCAGTGCCCATCTACGCTTAGGTAATACTACTCAAGATATTTTGTGTAGTTAGTATTAAACTGTAATCAGCGTCCGAAACGTAGAAAGCTTTTGCCCGAGCAGGCCGTTAAACCATGCAAACTACGGCCTGTAACAACGTAATGATGAACAAGGCAATGTAGCATTTCAGTCACAGCTAATGTTTAATACGATTATGTAGGAAAATACTTCATGCCAGCTCGACCTGCTACAGCGAAATAGGATATTATTGTAGGTCTCGAAATAGTCGCTGAGGAACTTTTCTATGAAAGTCAATTCGAGTTGGTTTACATAGAATATACTGATGTACTCTGAATGCTATCTGCACCCTACCGAGTATTAACAAAAACGGCGGCGGCAACAGTGACAAGTTGAAACAATCAGTGGTAATTATGTCCAGTTTAACACCGATTTAAGGACACGGCAAGCGGTCAGTGGCAAGAGAGGAAATAACACGTTTCGTGACGCATATGCCCTGAATATGAACCTACAACGCTTGCACGACGTGCACAATTGACAGACGAACGGCAATGAAAGACCCCGTTGTTTACACTAACGAACAGATCGATGACCCGTGGTCGATAACGACATCTGACCACGAAATTTTCAACTATCAGCAGACACACTGATAAGAAATGCGTTGCTGGGTGGAGCAGATCTTCTACAAAGGATACCTTGTCGCTAGAGGCCATCATAGTTTGAAGAACATCCGTAAATGAATTAACATCAAAGAACTAATTAGATGTTGTATTTTTTTTTCGTTTTCGAAATTTTTATAGGGCACTCACTTTTTAGGTTCAATAGACAACATTCACAATTTTACTCAACTGTGTGTCATATATCTATATAGTGTGGTACTTTACTGCTATACGTATGTATTTAGGAAGACCGACATTCTCGTATCAGGATTATTTAGGCAAATTCTACGACAACGAATCTGTGGATTGGTTCACTGAATATTGGGTGTTTTAGTAACTGTGCCATTGATTTGCAAAATATCAGATACATTACAAATAACCAGTTCGTATTATGTTCCGCTTGAAATAAACTTGTTTTATCCTATTTAGAATGCGAATATTGATATTCAGCATGATCCAAATACTTTCATTATACACGACGCCGACGTCGTTTTTTGCTAGGGCTGGTACCTTTAAGCCCCACCTACCTACCTACCTACCTACCTACCTAGCTACCTAGTTACCGCATTACGCTTGCGACCTCCGTTGTAATCAAGCAACATAGTTTTTGATGGACGAACGTTTATCAAAACGTGAAAACTACCATAAGATAATATTGGCTATATATCGATGATACTAGCAAGAACCACTTGATCTATCTACTCATGCAATCCACCAAATTTTCCTCACACATATATATATAGGCACACTGTGCGCTTACGAGCATGGCCGAGGCAATAGCGGTGCTGGTATTATCGTTACGACGCTTTATTTAGTTGCGTGTTCGAATCCGCATAAATGGATGTTCTTTGCCAGAATAAGGGAAAACCACAACGGACACATATGTAGGCTGCGTGCATATGAGGCCAGAGGAATATTTACTACCAAATCGAATTGTCTACGAGGTCGTTGAGACGTCCAGAGAATTACTTGCGGCGTTTACGATGAGCGTTCCGCTCAATTAATCGATTTCCTACAAACGTATCGAATTTACAGTGCAATGTCATACACAGAAGGAGCTGCACTTATTGAGTGAGTTTTTTTTTGAGAGAATGAGAATTGAATGCCAATAAATAAATGCCCAGTTGTTGAACGGCAGAACTAAAGGAACATGGATCTGTTTCTAGCATGCGCAATTGTCACAAGAAAGCCATTTGTTTTCGTTGCTGAAGCCGTGGAGCGATTAGGTAACGAGCGAAGTTGTGATTCAAGGTAATTGTGACTCTAGAATAGAACCTCTGTTTTTCGGTGTATCCAAACAGAGCTCAATTAGGTGGAAAGCTGCCTCATCCATCTATGTTGTATGCGAAACCGATACATATTTATTCGGAAAAAGAGTCGTTTTGTCTATTTGGACAACGGCCGCGCGTATCAGTTCTCTACTTGACCGATTGGGCCAATTAGGCCTAGAAGAG